TAAAATGTTTCCATGCTCAAAAAAGTTTGTAAAACATTTTTTTTTAATTTTGCAAGTCTTGTTGTTGGTATAATAAGGCTTCTAGAAGCTCTATAACATCGTCTGTTAAACTTACGCTTCTTTCATTGTTTTTCAAGCCCCATTAATCATGGCAATATTTTCTTCAAATGTAAAGACAAATCTAGCAAAATATACTCTGAGAAGTGTTGCTTTAGGCAGATAAATGTTCAGTCTCTGATTTTTCCCCCCAGTCTCTTCCACTCTCAAGCTACCTTTCCCCAACCACTTTCCCAATCTACTCCACCACAACTCTAAACCCAATCCAGAATGTGGAGTACCTGGAGCAGAGGTAATATGTATCAAACTGGATCTGAAGCCATAGCTATACAGAGTAAGCAGTTAGTTCCCATTCTGTGAAGTCCTTCATTTTCTTAGGATACCAGTCAAAGTTATTGTCTACTTAATGAAGTTTCCTTGTTTTCTGTGTGGGTTGGGAGGCTTTGTTTTGTTTTAGTTTGTGTTTTGAAGTGGACATCTTTCCATTGGAAACTTAGCCCTGGCTGAGGCACCAATTAATTTTGCATAAACTGCCATAGCATCTTGAGATGCTAATCTGTTCATTCCTAACCTCTCTGAGCTAGGCTAGAGTCATGTAGGTAACTTCTGCTTCCAGCTCTGTAGATTTATTTAGTGTTTATTCCTTGGTTCCTGCAGCTGTGTCCTTTCAATGACTGTTTTATGGTGGCCAAGAGAGTTGAGGATGGTTGCCAGGACTCTGGGATCTGGAAGAACACATGGACACATTATTCTTTCTCTCTAAAGCTATCCAATTCCTGTTCCGGTCAGATGGGGAGATAGTAGGAGGATATTATGAAGCCGCCCAACACTTTCTGTTGATGGTATTGTTCACACCTGCCATTACAGGCTTCTATGTATCCTCGTTTCCCTTCAATGGAAGGTCAATTACTAATGAAAGTGTAATAATGCAAAACCTGATTCTGAGCACAGCTTCTGGCTTTATTTGTGAATTTGTGAGAACTACTTGAGAGCCATTATTTTCTTTACTCTAAGAATACACATTGGGTCCAGTCTGCTTCAAACAAGAAGCCAGGAGAGACAAGTTACTATGTGTACTGAATACTAATTAGGCTTTTGCTTAAGTTGGTTTTTGTTACAATTATACTTCTTTTATGTAAAGACAGGAAAATTACTTTAACTGTAGCAAAATTCTTGCTTAACTTGAATATTTGGAGGAAAATCCTTTCGCCACTTTTATGTTTGTACTTTTAACATTTACAAAGCATTTTATGCTGCATAGAAAAGCAAAATATCATCGTCATTGTTACTGGCCTTTGTCCACGGTGGATTTTATCCAGATTCCAACCAGCCACTCTCTGACTGACAATCTGAGTCACTAAATTTCAGATGTTTTCGTATTTCAACACAATTCCCAGGCTAAAAGTTTTTTAAAATTTATTTTCATGTTTTAGGACTCAAGATATTAAATGTCCCTCTGAATTTCCATTTTGGTGTCTTGGAGTAACTAGCTAGAAACAATGAGAAAGGTAGATTGACTTGTTCCTTCAATAACAGATTTATATTGAAAAAGCCAAAATATCACCAAAATGTCAAAAGATTAGTATGCACTTCCAAAAGTCTCTAGTCTGGTGGAGAATTCAGTTCACTCTAAATATTTGTGTTTTCACCATGGTACTGGCCCAAGATAATTTCAGAATTTGAAATGCAGAAAACTTATAACCAAAAGGTGGTAAAGATGGCTGGGTGGTGCTGGCTCATGCCTGTAATCCTAGCTACTCAAAAGGCTGAGATCTGAGGATCATGGTTCAAAGTCAGTCTGAGTAGGAAGGTCTGTGAGACTCTTGTCTTTAATTAACCAGCAAAGAGCTGGAAGTGGAGCTGAATTAATAGAATACTAGCCTTAAGCAAAAAAGCTAAGGTACAGTTCCCTGGCCCTGAGTTCAAGTCCCAGGACTGGCACACACGCACACACACACACACACACACACACACACACACAAACACACACACACAAAGGGTTGCAAAGAGAATGCCAGAAAAATGCAGGTATATTTCCTAGTTTTTAACTTTGCAAATATGTTTAGCTTTATTCTTAGAGTTCCTCCAAAGAAATATTTGAATCTGGGAAGTCTGATTCTCATTTTTTAATATAGAATTTCATTGTTTTAATAATTTTCTTATTGTTTGTATCCATTCCTTTGCTGGTTTCATTTGTCCCTAGTGTCCCTCATTGGCCATCTTATATTAATTTAAAAAAGCAATTCCTCATTATTGGGATAATTTTATCAACATTTGGGTATGCATTTTTCACAGCACCTCAGGTTAATAACACTTTATGGTTTTCTAGCATTTTACAAAGGATTTCTTACTGGCCTCATGTAAATCTCTTTGTCATATAAGAGAAGAAAAGGTTTGTGCCCTTTTACAAGTGAGAAAATTGAAGCATTTTATATTGTTTTAGCTGACTTAGATTCATTGATTGAAGTTATATGGGTTGTTACCAGAAAAATTAGAAGCCTAATCCAAAGTTAATATGCTGGGTATGTAACATACATTTGGGATTTAAAAATTTTCAGGGTGAATATTAAAGGCTCATGCCTGTAATACCAACACTCTACTTTGGAGAGAGACATTGAAGACACTGACTTGTGGGAAAATGTTGGTAAGACCCCCATCTCAACAAAAAAGTCAAGCCTGGTGGTATACTTCTGTGGTTCCACCTATGGGGAGGCAAAGTGATCTACAGGCAAAAGGAAAATGGTCTACAAATCTTCATAAAACCCAAACAGATGAGTTGTTATTCTCCAATTCTGGTCTTTGCAAATACTAATTCTGATATCACATCTTATGCATCATTGTTGCTGTTCAATGTATTGAAGTATAATCAAATAGCACAAAATATGATCATATAGGAAATGGTAAATAACAACAATTCCGTTTCCAAAAACTATCTGTCATCCTTCTGTGCTTTATAGGATATCCTATACAGGTCTATACTGGCTGTTCTTGAAAGTCCTGTTGTCTCTCAAGCAAGTTACATTTTTCACTGTGCACCTATTGGATTTTAGATTTAAACTGATGGCGTGTCCAAGAGGGAAAACATTTTTGATTTACCATTTCCCTGTATCATCCACAGAAGCTTGGCTGAGGCCAGATTTGCTTGTTTTTATTTATTTATTTATTTTTATCCTAAAGTACCAATACTACAGTAGTGTGTGTGTGTGTGTGTGTGTGTGTGTGTGTGTGTGTGTGTGTGTGTGTGAGGGATTGAACTCAAGACCTTGTGTGTGTGTGTATGTGTGAGGGATTGAACTCAAGACCTTGAGCATCGAAAACAAGTGGCTATCAATGAGCTATATCCCACCCCTGTCATCTGTGGCCGTATCTGGCCCTTACACCCACACAGGGCCTACTAGGGAGGTCTGACATTGAAGCAGTTAGACATTCAAGCTACCCTAGAGTGTAGCTTGTAAAGTAGCCACAGCACAACCTCTGGGTGCCCCTGAGCAGTACAGACCCCTGAGAACCCTGCAGATCTTCTGCACCATAACTGTGGTGCAAAGTGGGGGCCAGCTCCTTGAGACAATCCCATTAACTCTCATGTATGACTGTTACTATTATGACAGCACTTTTCATTTTCCAGAAATGTTAGTAAAATATTGTGAATATTTCCTGGGCCTGGTGTTTGATCATGAAAACAGGGCAAACTATTTTTAAAAAGTGGCTCAAAAATAAGGACCTCTAGCAATGACTGCGAGACACTGTACACTGGACAACATCACCCATTTTTGAACCAGTCAGCAAGCACTGGGGTTCATGTTGGGTCCACCTTCTTCCAACTGTGCTGACATTTAGAAGAGGTACCGACAGCCAAGGCCGGCCTAGGTGCCGCATCTGGATGACTAATATTTTTCAAACCTAGGACAGCACGAACTGATTGATAACTATTTTCCCTCTATCCAGGTCCAATCAGCATTCCTCTTGCTGGAGTGCCAGAATCCAAAGACTTAAAACTATAGCACTTGATTTCAGTTGAAAAGCAGAGAATCAACCTTGTTTGTTTCAGTGCTAGGAATGGAACCTAGGGCCTTGGCAGGTGTTCTACCACTCCTTGCTCAGACCACAAGTCTTTTAAGGGGCGGAGTGGAGAGGGGACAGCTGTAGTAGCCTCTGGAAGGATGTCAGAGGCCAGGCCAGGGCAATGGATACAGATAAAGTCAAAGCAGGACACTGTAGGAAAGGACGAAGAACCCGGGGAATTGGGTTCGGTGTCAACTGGGTGTGGAAGCTGGATTTACAACAGATGCGCAAAGTAAGGATTTCTAATCGGTGGGGAGCCATTGCTGAGACAATTAACCTCTGGCCCCATGTTTCTAGGGACGGTGAAGCCCTTGTCCCTTTCCTCAAAGGCAGCAGCGAGGAAAGGCCTGACGAACAGCGCTTTGGATCTGATCGAAGGTGAAAGCAATCAATCAATCAATCAATGGAGTCCATAGCACCGCTTGAGTATGAAGAATAAACCAGCCCATCTAAAGCGGCTGTCAAAAAGGATTGCCAGCCCTGAAGCTGGGGCGACTCCTCCGGGAAGGCAGGGGACCGGGGCGCAGAGCATGCAGTCTCTTCCCGGGGAGCGCGAGCCTCGGGGCCGCCCATCCTCCCCGGGTGCAGCGGGGGGCGCG